CTGAAAACAAGGGTTGGGATGGCACCAAGAAGGCATAGGGCTGTTGGGAGGCCTGAGTGGGGAAAGCCACAGGAACAGCTCAGCCAAGACTTGCTGGCTTCTGCCTATGGAAAGAACCATGACCTACAGGCACAATCTAAACTTACAAGTTTACAGGCACTCTCCAGATCCTTAGAAGTTGCTGTTTGGTTGTTTGTTTCGTTTTGTTCCTTCTGTTGTTTTCTTTCATTTTGTTTCTGGCTAAAGAGCACTTCACTTTCTCTTTTTGATCTAGTCCAAACTCTCCGTATCTCCTTGGTCCTGGATCTGGAGCTCACCATCTCCCTGGGGGCTTCATCAGTAGGTGGCTGAGCTGTCTGCCCTGGTTCTGCTCTATGCTCCTTCTGAGTTCCTCCTGGCACTTCACCAAAGACCTTCCCCACTTAAGTCTCCTCCCCTCTGCATTCTGTTCAGTCCAATGGACACTTATTTATTACATCCTATATGTGCAATCTGCAAGAATAAGACGGCAGAAAAATTAAAAAGAACTCGGAGAAAATGACTGATGAAGTCCTTTCATTCATTGACTGCTTAAATATTTTCTGCAAATCTACTCTATGTTAGGTGCAGTGCTACTCACTATGGACACACACTTGTTCTCCATGAGTCTGCAGACCAGAGATATGCTCAACATTAATCCAGCAATCCCATGAGGAAGGCTCAAGCCCTACAAAGGCTGGCTCAGGGGGCTCTAAGGGCAGCTTCTCCTGCAGTTTCTGTGGGGAGAGTGGGTGTTCAATGAAGAGCCAATCTGAACCTACTAATACTATCCCCACTACCCTCCCTACAGGCTACTTTAAGTGTCATCAATTCACCTTATCAAGCTTGGTGTATCACCTTCACTATATAAGGTTTCAGAATCTCCTATTACCTTACCATGAGGGGGCAGGAGGAGGCATCAGGGAGCTCATCACTGAGTCCCAAGACCTCTTTGAGGCCTTGTACAGAGGTCTTTTCATCTTCCCTCCTACCACCCCTTTAAGACAGTTTGGACTCCAACCATGTCATAGGTAAGGGATACAATTCAGAAAGATCAAGTATCCTGCCCAAGATTACTCTGCTAACACACGGAAAAAGTGGGGGCTCCAGAGCCTTACGATACACAACGGCCCAGGTAAAGAATGCCACTGTAGTATGAGCCCCCAAGAAAATATTTACTCTTGCACTCTTCAACAAGTGTCTTATATGCGAGGTGACATGCTTCACAGGACTAGGGTCCTATGGGAAACTAAAAAGGGCTGAGATAAAGCATATCAGAGGTGGTGACCCACTTAGGCATGGTGGGCAGGGAAGGATCATGTGTATATTTGACACTGAAGCAGATACTTACAGGAAGAGAAGGAGCTGGTCATGAATATGGTAGGGGGAACTCTACCTACTTATGAATACCTTAAATAGTTGATAATAAATTGTTTAAAAAGAGATAACTAATAGGTACAAAACTATGCTATCTAGCCTAAGTGAATCACTGTGCATATATGCATCTATTGAAATAACACACCATACCCCATAAATATAAATATAAATAAAATTTAAAAAATAAAAAGAGAGAACAAAGGAAGAGCTTGGAATCTTCAAGAAGCTGAAAGACTAGAGAGGCTAGAATAGGGTTGGGAGTAGAGAAGAGGCAGCCAGGCCAGGCCAGGTTGAGGGACTGGAAGGATGGGACATCTGGAGTTTTATTCTAATGCTAAGGGAAGTCACTGATGGGTTTGCAGCAGGGCAATGGTACGATCCCCTCAGGCTACACATCACTGTACTCTCACTGCATTGTTAGGGAGGAAGGACTGAGAGGAGAGCAAGGGGAGGCAGCAGTTCTGGATGGACTCTGATGAGGAAGAGGCAGTGGAGGGTGAAGAGGAGGCTGAAATAGAGATAGTCACCGCAAGGGCTGTTCAAAATTGCTTTTTCTTTTCACTGGGAGCTGGGAAATTAGATTAGCCTATGCTCTGAGGCACTGTTCCCCAGGCTCTTCGTAGATACTCAAGAACCAGGAGACAGTGAGTTAAGGATCAGATGCTTTCCCCTCCATCGAAACCTCCCAGTTCGCCGCTGCGCTTTCTTTATTCCCTCATCAACTATAAATTACCTGTGCTCAAACCATTTCCCCAAACAACAGCATAAACACCGGAGGAAGTTAGAATTAAAGATAATGTCAAGTATCTGAACACAAATCCTCTTTTTTAACTGTGAACACAATAAATCAGGGCACCAAGAGTCACGACTTTCATAGTGAACCCTAGAAAGAAAACAGACAAATCTGAGAACTGAGAACACCCACATCATGTTAGGAACGCACCCTTTGAAACTGCTCATCCCAGCTGTGGTAGAAGAATACTCTCCTCCCCCAAGGATATCCACATCCTAATCCCTGGAACCTACAAATATGCTATATTACATGGCAAAGGGACTTTGCCGATGTAATTAAAGTTACAGACTTTAAAATAAGGAGATTATCCTGGATTATCTGAGTGGGTCCAATCTAATCTGAGTCCTGAAAAGCAGAAAATTTCCTCTAGCTGAAGTCAGAGAGATGTAGCAGAAGAACCGGCCCTTGCTCACCGGGGCCACACAGAAAGCACGAAAAGAAATGCAGACAGCCTGTAGGAACAAAGAATGACTACTGGCTAAAAGCCATGAGGGAAGAAGACACCCAAGGCCTACAAGTGCAAGGAACTGAATTTAGCCAGCAACATGAATGAATGGGCTTGGAAACAGATTCTACACCAGAACCTGCCGTAAAAAATACACCCTGCCAACATCTTGTGGAACCTTGTAAGAACCTAAGCAGAAGACCCAGTGGAGCCTACCTAAACCTCTGGCTTATAGAAGTTTACCAGATTATAAATTTGTGTTCTTTTAAGATGTTAAATTAGTGGTGATTTGTTATAGTAGCAATAGAAAAATAATACACAAGCAGCAATCTCTCAAAAAAAGAGAGATTCTGGAAACAAAAGAATCCCGTTCTCCTAGAAGCAAAAGGAAGCTGAATCATGAAGTCAGTCTCAAAACCCAGAAATTCTTCAATCATCCTCCCAGCCCTCTGACACTTCCCCTGCCCTCTGCATTTCCTTTGATGACAACATATTCTTCCGGTTCTTAAATTCTGGGCTTTCCCAAAGAGAAATCCTTGCCCTTGGAAGATTTTCTTGCAGGAGCCTTTAAGTGGGCTATCCCTCAAGATTTCACCTATAGATAACTTGAGTGCATCAACAAAATGCTTTTCACTGATTCTTCAATCTCTGCAGAAATGTCCCAAGACTATTGCCAGGCAGTGCCCAGAGCCACTAACTCTACAGTCCCCACTCCCTCCACTCCAAGAGGTTTTCCGGCATTCAGCCTAGCTTCCTTCTTTCCACACTGCTTCACCCCACCCGCTCCATCCAGTTAATCATCAAGGATTTTCCACATTCTCCCCTTTCTCTGGAATTTGTCTTTCTCTTTTAATTGCTACCACTGTCTAATGCAGGCCTTTATAATCTCTCACCTAACTAGGTCATTTTACAACCATTTTACGGAGAATGTGATAGGCAGTGATCTAGCAATGGGAAAACAAGGATGAAAAAAAGGACAATTCCCCACCCCTCAAGATCTCAAAACTCTTTTAATAGCCTAACTGGACTCTCTTCTTTGTCCTTGATCTACCTTCGGGGACTTGGGGGATCTTCCCAGCACTGGCATTTCACTACCTCAAAGGAGGCCACACGCCAAATATAGGCTCAACTCCTTAGCACAACATCCCCACCACAAACATGCCAGCACCTGCTCACCCTCATTCCATTTCTCCTGAACTTCCTTACTCTTCAAACCCCAGAACTCTCAGCTTACAAGGTTCTCCATGCAGTAAACGCTCACATTTCCTGGCTCCTTGGCTTGGAATGGTGGCTATTCACACTCCTACTTGTTTTCCTAGGACTCAATTTATTCCTCGTTTACTCCGCAAGGCTGCTCCTGACCTGCTCAAGCTAACTGCCACTTCGCAGGAAGCCCGTGATGTATCCATAACATTACGGAGCACTGGTAAGATTGCACTGGGAGTGTTCCTTTACCTACAGCGCTATCCCCCAGGTAAGAGGCAGGGTCTCCAGCAAATTTGTGGCAAACACAATACACCAATAAGCTCATTAAAAACTGCTAAGTGTAGGGCCGGCCCGTGGCTCACTTGGGAGAGTGTGGTGCTGATAACACCAAGGCCACGGGTTCGGATCCTATATAGGGATGGCCGGTTAGCTCACTGGCTGAGCGTGGTGCTGACAACACCAAGCCAAGGGTTAAGATCCCCTTACCGGTCATCTTAAAAAAAAAAAAAGCTAAGTGAAACAAGCAGTCTGTGGTGAGGGGCTAGAGTTCCTTGGAGGGTGGGGGTTCCTCCAGAACCGATGATCCGCATCCTGACAGCCGCTTCCTGCCACACTTCGGCCAAGTCCACAGTCCGTCGGAGGTGGGTGAGGGGTGAGAGGTAGGTGTGTGTGTGTCACTCTTAGATTCTCCGTCCCCACCGCCCACAGTCCAAACCTACCCTCCCAACCTCATCTTCCATCCACTCCTCCAATCTCTCTCTCAACCTGATACGCTTTTCTGGAAGAGAAACCACCAAGCACCCAACCCTGCTAACCCCCCTACGGTCCGCCTCTTTCCCTTCCGTATTCAGTGTGATTCAAAGCAGGGGAAAGTCTGCACCCAAAGCACACAAATGACGAATGAGAAAGCTCAGGAGGATGACTCATAAGCCAGGGCTCGTTGGTTTGCAGAGCTCGGCCCAAGGAAGGCTAACAAGCAGTTCGTGTCGTCCAAGAACGAAGGAGGCAGCCGGGGGACGTCCGTGCCCTGGGATCCACACGGGTCCCCTGCACCTTCATTCTCCCGGCGCCCTCGGGCCCCCGCGGGTCGGACCCTGGCCTCGCCCACCTCGCGAGGGAGGAAGGTCAGCGATCCCGCCCCCCGCACCGGCCTCCACTCACATTTGGCTGATCAGCTTCTGCCGGAAAGCGGCGCTCCGCCAGTCGGTTTCCTGCCCCGAAACGTCCATGCCGTTTCCCCACTCCCGTCAACCGCGTCCCACTCGGCCGCCGCCGCCGCCTCAACCGCAGCGCCAGGCCCAAACCCGGAAGCCTTTCACGGCGCCTCAGCCGCGCCGGAAGTGGAGGGGGAATTGTGGGAAAGAGAGTCGTGCGCGCGCGGGACTGTGGGAAATGGAGTTCCTCTGCAGTGCGTGGGGTTGTCTCAGTCTCCCCAGTCACCCGGTGTTACGGGAGCCGGCACCTCTGTCGCTCGAGGCTAGGACCCCAAAATCAACGGGTTGGGGAGACTGGTGGCTGCGTGGGGTTCTTGGGGCTGCCCACAGCAGGCCCGCGCCTGGCCGCCCGCACTTCCTGCGACCCTACTGTGTGCTGGTCTCATCAAGTCACTGAGATCCGGCCCCCTCGGGAAACCCGGGCCAAGCTGTCAGCTATCTACAACGATGCTAGGGAGAGAGTGGTTATCAAATATTTTTGAGCATCTACTGTGTGCCAGGGATTGTGCCAGTGGAACATGATCCAGGCCTTGTTTTCCTATGACTGCCCGCCAGCACTACTTCTGAAGAGTGACCAGGTAGACTCTCATCACCGATTCTCTCCGTTAGACTTTTGGTATCACAGATCCCACCAATGGCTGTATTTTGTAGGTGCCGGGGGTGTGAAGAACCTAAACCACATTTATTAATTTTTAGACACGGGGTTTTGCAAAGCCAGCAGCTATATCCCCTTCATGGAGAACACAGCCCAGAAGGTTGCTGAAGGCTGTAAGTCAGACAAACTTGCTCAGGAGAGGCAAGCCAGCAGGATGCAGATGGCAGGTTGCCAGGGTCTGAGGATACTTTTAGGTCAGTAAAAGTTCTGCCGCATTGGACCTGTGGGGCCTCTGTGCTTCTGAGAAGGGAGAGGAGGTGAGGTGATGTAAATCTTGAGCCAAAGTGGTCCACAAGCACCCAGGTGGAGAGAGTGTAGCGTGCCACCTACTGATGCCTACTAAGTGCCAGGCCCCTTCTGGGTTGGATTACCCCCCCCCCTTGTCTGGTGCCCCAAGCAGGAACTTGGGGTGGCAGTGGGGGAACTAGGAGCAGAGAGAGTGAGCAGATTCCCCAAAGGGGCCCCTCTTGCCAACAGAGTTTCAGATCTTTTGCTGATGTGAGAGCTATTCACATCTTCAAACTTTTTGCTCTCATTTTCCCAACATTAATTTTTTAAAACTCTGTACTGTGCGAGGAGAGGGTTCGAATATAATACTCTCTGAACTGAAAAGGAACTTTAAGACCAAAGAGGGAGGCCAGCAAATTTATACAAAGATTTTTATTAAAAGGGTAACATATACAGGAAAGGGTCCACACAGTGAAGAATCAGATGTCTACAGCAGATGAAATCTCTCTCTCTCTCGGGCTTTTAGGCAAGGCTTACATAGCATAACTTTAAAGAAATAGTTTAAAAAAAAAAGTTTTCCTGTGATCTATGAAGCTGGGAGCTTGTGACACTTGTGCACAGACTAGATGACAGCAGGAGTTGCAGTAAGTCACCTATTCCCCAAACCTTAGGTTCCTGTTAGGCTTGCCCTAAAGTTAATCTATAATTGATACATGAAACAAAGGAATGAGGTTAAATAGGAGTCAACATGGTAGGTGGGGCACAAGATAGCATTGGTCCTGTTCACCCTTTAACACCCCATCCTGATATCTCTTGTGGCCCACACATTCTTATCTGCCAATGTTCCATGATGTCCCTAGGGCCAGATGTCAGGTGGTGACTTGCATCCCTATCCAGACACAGCAATACAAGCAACAACAGGAGCATAATATCCCTATTAAGCAGAGAAAGATACTGAGAACTGTAGTTCCCCATTTCCCAGAGAGAGAAGTAAGCCATCTAGTAAAAGCATCTGCAAAGGAAAGATGGTCTACATGATGAATGGCCTTTCTCATATGAGAAGACAGATTAGTTACATAAGCCTCATAGAAAGGAATGTAAGTACAACATTCTTGTCCAATCAAAGTGCGTGTTTCTCCATGAGCAGCGATTAATATATCTAAAACCATTCTATTTTGTAACACCACTTTTCTGATTCATGTTGTTTCTTGATTTAATAAGAAAGTGGCAGGAGTCATTCAGGGCAGCAGCAGTAAATTTGGCCAACGACTGGACTTTCAATGTAATGATATCTGTATTAGTCTGTTCCTTTTTTTTTTGGTTGGCTGGCTGGTATGGATATCTGAACCTGTGACCTTGGTGTCATAAGGCTGTGCTCTAACCAACTGAGCTAACCAGTCAGCCTGTATTAATCTGTTTCTGTTGCTTGTAACAAAATACCGGGAACTGGGTAATTTATAGAAAACAAAATGCATTGCTTACAGTTTCTGAGGTGGAGAAGTCCATAATCCAGGGAACACATGTGGTAAGGGTCTTCCTTGGTGGTAGCTTCAGTGACACAGAGTATCATATTTAAAAAAAAAAAAAATTATTATTATTCTTTTGCATTCTAAGATGTTGTTATGGAGCAGTGGGGGGGGGTGAGGGGGGAAGAAAGTTGGCAGTGGGGGTGGGGGATGGGGCTGGCTCATGGCAAGCTCTTTTGCTGGCCTGGTTGCAGAGGGCGGGGTGGGGGGTTGGGGGGCTTGTGTGGCTGAGGGCCCCATGGGCCCCCTCCACTCTGGCTTGGGAGCCCAGGGGGTTTCTGGCAGTGGCTCAGTTGTCATGGGGCTGGATGCAAACATTGGTGGGGGTGGGTGAGGCCCTCGGCACCCCCAACCCCAGCTTGGAGGCCTGGGGGTTTCCAGCTCCTCTAGGTTTTATAGGTGTTCTTTGGTGATGTTAGACCTTTACTGATTAATGTCAGAACTTTATCTCTGATCTGTGGGTGTTTTGTGTTTTCTTTCAGTTCTGTGTTGGATTAGCTACCCCCACCACTTAAACTCTGCACTGGAACTAATTTGTTGCCCTTTGCTTACATCTAAAATGGGGGAATTTCCTGTGGGGAACTGCACTTGAGTCCTGTGGTTGAACTAAATTGCTGTTTTGCTGCTGATTCTTTGGGGAAAGCTTTTTGTGCAGCTCAGGTTTTAATTGTTGATCTTGTAAGCACTTCCGGGTCTTGCGAGGTCCTATACACCTGGGTTGTGTGAAAACTCTGGTCTGGGCCTGAGTCTTTTCAGCAAACTGCACCCCCTGCAGTTCTATACTCCTACCAGTCTCCACTGAGTGGGCCTGTGCTGATTGAAGGGCAGATCAGCTATCTATGCTGTGCCCTAGTGTTCCCCTAGTGGGCCTGTCTCCCCCACCGCCCACACTCCAAACACTTCCCATAGGACGGGCCATGTGCTGGTCCCTTGTGATAACTCACTGGTTCCTTTTTTCCATTGTGTGTGGCCCCTTGCTTGTATGTGGGTCCATGGGAACCCTTTCAGTGGTCTTGCTGGCCTAGAGGCCACCAAGGCCCTCCTCTCCCTGCAGTCTCCAAGCAACTTCACACAAAGGGCACAGCTGCAGCTTTGCCAGCTCTTGCTCCATGTGCTCACCAGGGCCAGCCTTGAAATGGCCAGGCTCAAAACAGTGGGAACGGTCCCTTCTTTCTCTCGTCATGGTTTCTCCTGCCTTCATGAACTCCATAGGTCTCTCCTCCTCTTCCCCTGAGCTCTAGTGGCCCCAGCTTGGTAATCTTTGCTTTTTTTTTTTTTTTTTTCTTTTTTTGTGACCAGTAAGGGGATCGCAACCCTTGGCTTGGCGTCGCCTGCACTGTGCTCAGACAGTGAGTGCACCGGTCATCCCTATATAGGATCCGAACCCGCAGCCTCGGCACTCCCAGCACCGCTGCGCTCCCAGCACCACACTCTCCCGAGCAAGCCACGGGGTCGGCCCAATCTTTGCTTTTTAATAGTTATAAATTGGTTGATTGTGGGAGAGAGTGACGCTGGGGACTGTCTATTCCACCATCTTGATTCTTTGCCCCCCAGAATACCACATTGTGAGATGGCAGAAGCAGAGAGAAACTCTCACATGCTCTCCTTTTAAAACCCTCAGAACCACTCCCCTGACCACCATTGTTAATCCATTCACTAGGGTCCTAAGAATCTAATCACCTCTTCAAGGCCCCATGTTTCAATTACTGTAATAGAATTTCCCACCCTCAACAGTTACAGTGGAGATTAAGCTTCAGTGACTTTGGGAGGCCATTCAATTCACTGCAGTGTCTCACAACTGGGGAGAAAACATGGCTATTGACCATTCCCACCAGGCAAGTCTTTGGTTCTATCTAGACTTGACAGCTGGGAGATTATAAGGAACTCCAGGCTGGGCATCATATATCCTGCCTGGCAGAGGTGCAAAGCCTAAAGTGCATCAGCTGGTCCATATGGCAGGTATTGCCAGTGGTTTGTCCCACATTTCCCAATACCAGTTTTCGGTGCCAAAAAGGAGCCCCATGTGTCTGTGTGTGTGTTGGATATGATTCATCCTTTCAATACAAAGAGGGACTACTGAGCTGAACATCCCATGTTCTGCACAGAGCCATCCCAGACCATCCCAAATGTGATAGGCAATGGGTATCTTGGAGTCGTTGGCACGGTGCCTTACTAATGAGAACATGTACTGTTTAGTGTTATAATAGAATAATAGAGTGGGCCTCTGTATAGTATCCAGAGGGCCCAGTGCGTTTTTGCTCTCTGCAGTCATCATCCCCACCCAGAGTTCCCATTCTGTCTTGTCGAAGGGCAACACGTTCCATGACATTCCCTGAGCACTGAGCTCCAGCAGCCATCTGCATACGCAGTAGTTGGAGCAATTGTGCACTTCAGCAAAAGTGGTGGCCCAGGACAGAAAGGCGTTTCCTGATGTTGTAGGCAGAAACCCAAAAGTGAGGAAGCTGAGGGTGATAAGATAAATGTTTCAAAGGTATCAGGTAAGGTGAGTCTTCATTTAACAATAACACAGTTGCAGTTTGATCAGCATGTGCCAGTACCACCCTCTGTTTTGGCAATTTCCCTGATGGGCTATACCATATACTTTGGCATTTGATGCTATCAATAGGTGCAAGCATGTTATAAACAGGGACTTCTGTTGC